TCTCAACAATTGCCCTAAGTGACTTAATATTCTGGATCCGCCGCTGAGTGATTGAATGAAGAAAACTCGAAATCTGATTCAAATCAAATATGATACCTAGGGTACATAAGACATATATTGAATCAATTCTTTTTAATGAATCGATCCGATCACAGCTTTGAGTATGAGCTAAAATAGATCAAATAGGAAAGATGCTCAAAATCAACATGAAGTTACAGTATATATATAAAAAAAAAGGATTAAGGTTTTGTAATATATTTGAATGATTCTGATCTAATTCATAGCCTATTAGAAGTAGAAGACATCTTGGTAGGAATGTGATAATCGACGGACTTGATGGGGAATTTTCCATTTGGAAGTTTTGGGGCGTGAAAAAAGGGGATTTATGAGCAGGAAAGAAAAATAATGTTATGTTTATTAGTTTTGAAAATTAAATGATAAAAAATACAACAATCTGGGATGACCAAGAAAATCGGATTTGCCTTGTTTTTTTATCTAAAAGTTTGACTGAGGGCTTGCCATAATTTTCCCAAAAAAGAAAACATGTTGATATTCTTATTTTTGACGGCTTTTGATTGTTGCCAAAATGTATACTGTTTCTCTTTTAATTTTCAAAATGGTAAATAGAAGAATTTGCATTATATACTCAATTCCCTTTTCTTTTCTTTTTTTTTTCTTTTTTTGGCACTCTCTCAAAATTGTACTCCTATAATATGGTTGGTGTTAAAATCGTAAAAATGCCATCTATAAATTGAGTACATAAGAGACCTAAATGTTGGATTGAAGTTTTCCTTTCAATATGGAATGCACATTTATTATTGTTTGATTTCCAGTATTCTCAAAATACATTTTTTTTTCTTTTATTTTCAATCATATATTTTTTAATAAATAAAATAATATTACTCACAAATTTTAAAAAAAAAAAATTCTTATTTTTTTAACTACACCACACATTCTTTATAAAAGGACTATATCAAAATATATTTTGGACAAAAAATGAGCCTTAAACAAGTTGAAATGAATTTGACTCTAATCATTTGTTGAAATGGTCAAGTTCTTGAAGCCCTTTTTTATTTGGCCACGGTTTGGTACACATTAAAATTTTTATTCTCATTTTTCTACTCATTTTCAACCATACATTTTTCAATAAAATAATATTTTACATCACATCAATAACTTTTCCTTATTTTTCAATCGCAAATTCTCCATCAATCTACTATTTCAAAATATATTCTTCCAAAATAATGTGGTTCACACACAACTCTAATTACTTTTTTTTTTGTAAGCGTTTATATTTCAATTATACTTTTCCCTAAAAAATTTTAGATTTTTATATTTTTATAAAAGATAAATGATTTGGATATAATTGGTCAAAAAATAGGTCGGCTTTCCCTTCCGTGTATAAATAGATGCAAATCTTCGTCAAAAACCTAACTGGAAAGACCATCACCCTAAAGGTGGAAAGTTCTGATACCATTGACAATGTAAAAGCCAAGATCCAAGACAAAGAAGGAATTCCACCAGACCAAAAAAGACTGATCTTTGTTGGAAAGCAACTCGAAGATGGTCGAACCCTTGCTGATTATAACATACAGAAGGAGTCTACCCTCCACTTGGTTCTCCGTCTCCGTGGAGGCATGCAAATCTTTGTCAAAACTCTTACTGGGAAAACCATTACCCTTGAGGTTGAGAACTCTAACACGATTGACAATGTCAAGGCCAAGATCCAAGATAAGGAGGGAATTTCCCTGGACCAACAAAGATTGATTTTTGCTGGCAAACAGCTTGAAGATGGCAGAACCCTTGCAGATTACAACATTCAGAAGGAGACCACCCTTCATTTGGTGCTAAGGCTATGCGGAGGCATGCAAATTTTTGTGAAGACCCTTACTGGGAAAACTATAACACTTGAGGTGGAAAGTTCTGACACTATTGACACCGTCAAGGCAAAAATCTACGATAAAGAGGGCATTCCTCCGGACCAGCAGAGATTGATTTTTGCTGGCAAACAGCTAGAAGATGGCAGAACACTTGCGGATTACAATATCCAGAAGGAAAGCACCCTTCACTTAGTGCTAAGGCTCCGTGGAGGAATGCAAATTTTTGTGAAGACCCTTACCGGGAAGACTATAACACTCGAGGTGGAAAGTTCGACACTGTTGACAATGTCAAGGCCAAAATACAGGATAAAGAGGGCATTCCCCCAGACCAGCAGAGATTGATTTTTGCTGGCAAACAGCTAGAAGATGGCAGAACACTTGCGGATTATAATATCCAGAAGGAGAGCACCCTTCACTTGGTGCTAAGGCTCCGTAGAGGAATGTAGATATTTGTGAAGATCTTTACTGGGAAGACTATAACACTTGAGGTAGAAAGTTCGGATACTATTGATAACGTCAAGCTAAAATCCAGGACAAAAAGGGCATTCCCCTGATCAGCAGAGGCTTATTTTCACTGGGAAGCAGCTTGAGGATAGCCGTACCCTTGCTGAATACAACATTCAGAAAGAGTCAACTCTTCATTTGGTGTTGAGGCTGCGTGGTGATATGCAGATCTTTGTTAAAACTCTTACAGGGAAGACAATCATGCTTGAGCTTGAGAGCTCAGACAAGATCGACAATGTGAAGGCTAAGATCCAGGATAAGGAGGGGATCCCACCAGACCAGCAGAGGCTGATCTTTGCTGGCAAGCAATTCGAGGATGGAAGGACCTTGGCTGATTACAGCATCCAGAGAGAATCCACTCTTCACTTGGTCTTGAGGCTTCGTGGTGGTATGCAGATTTTTGTGAAGACCCTCACTGAGAAGACGATCACACTCGAGGTTGAGAGCTCTGACACAACTGATAATGTGAAGGCTAAGATCCAGAACAAAGAGGGCATTCCTCCAGACCAGCAAAGGCTAATCTTTGCTGGTAAGCAGCTAGAAGATGGACGTACGTTGGCTGATTACAACATTCAGAAGGAATCTACCCTTCATTGGTGTTGAGGTTAGTTAAACTTTGTAAAAAGATCCATTAATCAGCTTAATGCTCAATACAATACAAATGAAGATGAGGTGAAATTTATACAAGTAAAGAATATTCTAGATGTTAAATCTAAGATGTACAAGTGAAAAAAGAATCAATGGTGATCCATAATTTAAGGGTGGTCCAGCAATTAGGAGGAGAGAGAGAGAGAGCTGAGAGGAATTCTGGTGCACCTGATCCAGTAAAATGTGAGTGTGCCTTATGGAGTAAAACGTGAGTGTGCCAGTAAAACTTGAGTGTGCTATGAGTGTGCCATATGAAATTTAGTTGGTTAATTCAACTGTGCTAACATCCCCCCTCAAGCTAAAGGGGTTATTGACACTCCAAGCTTGTCCTTCAAGTAAGCAAATCTTGAGTGTGATACACCTTTAGTCTGCAATCTGATCTACAGTAGGGATGTATTTTACTTCCAGTTCTCTTGCAATAATTTTATCTCTTATGAAGTGAACATCTAATTCATTGTGCTTTGTTCTAGCATGGAACACAGGATTGGCTGCCAAGGCTCTAGCACTGAGGTTATCGCACCAGATAATTGGAATTGAGGTTGATTATAATTTGAGCTCCTTAAATAGCGACTGTATCCATGCTATTTCAAACGCAGCAGAGGGAAGAGCTCTGTATTCTGCTTTCGTGCTAGATCTTGCGACAACATGTTGCTTCTTAGACGACCAAGATAATAGGTTGTCTCCTAGATAAATACAGTAGGCTGCCACTGATTTTCTATCATCAGATCACGATGCCCAGTCTGTATCAGAGTAGCAGATTATCATCAGATTATTGCTTCTTTTGATCCATAGTCCTTGATTGATTGTGCCTTTTAGATATCTTAAGACTCTCTTCATTGCTTGCCAATGTACTGATGTTGGTTCCTGTAGGAATTGACTGAATTTATTGACAGCAAAGGTTATATCTGGCTTGGTATGTGACAAATATTGGAGACCTCTGTTCGGGTGATTCTATGCCTCAAGTGCACGGGTCGAGAACAAGTAGTAAAAGTGGACCTAAAGAATCCAAGTCGATCCCTCAGAGAGTGTGGAATTCAATTTGACGTTTATCAGTCTTAATTTTAACGACGACACACACATAGATTTAAAAATGAT